TAAATCAGGTTTGAACTAGAGATTGCAAAAGCAAATCCTAACGCATGAAGGGGAAAACATGTAGGTCTGCAGAATTCAAACACACTATCACAGGATTAATTTTGCTCCTCTTACAACAAAGGTGATATGGTTAAGGAAGTTTCAGAAATTCCCAAGCCAAGATAGGTCTGCCTTGAAAACCAAAAGCTATCAATCCTGGGCTGGAGGTCCTGTGAACTGTTGGAGACACAACACAGTTTATACTCCTACTCACTGTCAGGCTTCTGCCAAGGCATGAAAAAAATAAATAAGAATCTACTCATCTTCAGCAAACCATGCAATAAAATTGAGCTCAAGTTTAATAGAGGACTTCAAACATTATATGTTGAGCTTGACCAGACTCAAAACCAAAAAGTCATCACACTCAGCCATCCTCAGTGGCTGTGCCATCCTATCAGTCATAAGCCTCATGGAATTGGTTGGCAGAGTCCATGAAACATGAGGAATTCACGTGTGACACGCTGATCTTATATTATGCAAGTAAACCAAAATGTAACAAATATGTTACTTGTAAATATATTTGAGCCAGGAAATAGAGATTTGAAATGCAGATTTGACAAATGCCAGTCAGATTCGAAAAACACACCTTTTTAATCCTTGGAGATTCCCTTACTTCCAATGGCACAGATGCCATGCTTATGCAACGAACTGGGATCCAAATTTTGCAAATCTTGTCTCTGCTTTGATCAAGCAACTGATCAGATTAAGGCAGGGACTAGACTTAGCCAGAACAAAGGGGCTGTTCAGATTCCAGGAATTAGCTTCATGGTGATCAGGTGCAGATTAATTTGTTTGCTAGAATGGAATATAGCGATCATGTTGAATAACAGAAATTGGACATCCTGAACGAGAGAGAACTGAGATAACTTGGGGGTGACCGAATCAGAGCAGTGACTTGAGAGCCCAAAGAGCATAAGAAGTGACCTTAGCATGCAGCTACCTCAAGAATTCCCATTTCATTGGTTTGTTTGGTTTCCAGCAGCCTGGTACTGGCTTTATTCCAAAAATGCATGGTTGGAAGTGTATAGACAGAAGTGCCTTTAAGCCAGCAAAAATAGCCTGATGGGCTGAAAGACACTGCCATCCATCTTCTTGCCCCAGATGAGAACAGTTTGTTGAAAAGACACTCCTGCACATTCACAAACTCCTCTTCTCTAGCCAGTTTCCCTGCCCCCTGAAAGTCATAATTTAAACAAAAGAAAATTTTACTGGGATTTTTATTGTCTGCGTTCCCATTATCATAAACTTTATTAGGTTTTCTAGAATACCATTTATTGCCACTGGTGAGGAGGTAACACAGCTCACATTACTGTGCATTTTTTAGTTCTCTGTTGGGAGAACACAAGCTTTCAGACAAAAGTTTATAATTATTTATGCAGCAAATTGATATTTTGGATTTTTTGTCATGGTAAGAATTATAAGCCTTGGAAGATTAAATTTGTATAGAAAACTGTTTTATACTTTTAAAAAATCTGTCTTTGTTGTTGCAACTCTATATCACTCTTCATCACAAATTCATGAAAATCACTAAATGCTTCAATTATAGCATTATCTCTATGAATAACCCTATTTAGATGATGTACTAAGATCTATCTTTAAAGCCATTTCTAATTGTTGTTACTATTTTTAAACACTGATCTAAAAGTTTCAATAATAAGCTTTGAGATTGGTATAAATGAGCCAGGGAAAATATGCAATGCAGCAACTGTGAAACCAAATTCTAGAGCATCTTGAAACTCAAAAGGATTATATGATCTTATTTACCATAGAAGATTGAAAACACACTGTATCCAGAAATGCCTTTTTAAAATTCTTTTTAGATGGTTTTCTATTTTTTTTATTATTCTATAAAAATGAAATCAAGTAAAAAATAATAATTGTAACTAGTAGCTTCACTTTCTAAAAGGGCTACAAGTTAAATACTAAAGTTCATCACGAATTTAATGCCAAGGTGTAATTGTGATACTTTCATTCAAATATTCCATAGTACGTTGTGAAATCATACAGCCAACTACAACTCTACTATTTTGGTGCCTGGGGCCCCTTTCTCCCCCCAGCCCCAATCCTTGAAGGAGACCACCCTTGTTCAAGGCAAGGCTGGCTAAAACTCTTGAAAGCAACAGTCCTGCTGGATTTTGACTTCCTTTTTTTCACTCTCAGTTCCCCCAGGCTTCACCATCCTTTCCCCGATAGTCAGTGTGGGCAATTAGAACAATCTTAATTCAACGTAGATAAAACCCTTCCTGCCCTACCAATCTCTCCTTTCAAGCACAAACGTTTAATATACTTCAGATATATGGAGAGTAATTCCAATTCAATGCTATAATCTGCACAGAGAATCTCCAGTGCTAAGTACCTCAGGGTTCCAAAAGGGCCTGGCTGTAGCTCCCTGGTCAGACAGGCTGACCTTCAGCCACCTCAATTAGCTGAGAAAGCAAAGTGAGGGTAGTGCTGTACTCAAGGAAAATACTGCAAGAAAACAGAGCCAAAGAGTTGTTTCAGGAAACCTGAAAGAACTGAAAAAGCCAAGTACAGTTTAGACCAGTCAAAAGTCAATGTTGAGCAACCTGACTTTTCCAAATATGTTTTTTGGATACTGCTTGTAGCACTGAAATCCTTTGCAAATGTCTTTATGTAAAGACCAAACTAATCAGCAACACACAGATAACTCAGATACAGTAAGTTATTGGGCAGCTCTATTGCAAATGAGAATGCTTGGCACAAATCCTTGACACCTGCAAAGAACTCCAGCCATTATCTGGGGGGATTTCTGTGTCCCTTCCACAGACTGTCACTTACTAAGATAATAAGCTCATGTTTCCCCCGTAAATCAGTGTTGGAGCTGTTGTAGTCCCTCACATTACATGTGATAATCCCAAAACACATCTGCTCATGAATGAAATATTGTTTGGGGTTTGACATATCTTAAAGGTTTAAAGAGGAAATGCAAACTGTGAGGACATTATAGCTGATAGTACACTAACAGCACACAGTCAAGGTAAAGATTGTCAAGTGTCACATTGTCAGAGTTAGTCACAAAAGAACACTCACCAAACAATTCCTGGAAAGAGATTTTGCCAAGTGCTGTGAACTTCTCGTACCATGACCATGCTTCAGTAATATTCTTTGTGTTGTGAAAATGCTACAGCATTTTCAAAGCCCACCCATGAGCAAGCTTTCAAATACATGACGCCTAAGATGCCTAAGGAGGCAAGTTGGATGATTCTTAAAATCACAGAATAAACTCAAGTTTATGCTATGAGGAAACCAGGAGACAGCATACAGACTACATGGCCAGCTGAAGGCTGCACAAAGCCAAGTCTGTTGTCTCATACCCTCAATCAGATCTTGCACATCGAGGATGGGGGTGGGGAGCATCAGTAGCTAAATTTTTCTGGGTTTTAAGCACACTTGAAAGCCATAAATAAGGCTCTGAGCATCCTACAAGCACAGTGCAAGTATATGGACAAAAAGGTTCCCATTACTGCTGATGTGAAAGCCTCATTCCGCTGACAACCAAGCGTCCTTCTGAAGTCCCCATGCTCTATATCACTTAAGTTTGTGCTGAAGAGCTCTACTGAATCAAGTGTGGAGGTTTGAGTGCTGGTGATTCTCATATACTAATTTATGAGCAATTCTCTCACAGAAACCCATTGGGCTAAGTCTGCATATGGAGCTGCATGAGCCTCACAAGCTCAACATTCTCAGCCCTCAAGCTGTCTTGTTCTAAAGGACGATCCAATACTTCTGGTGTAAGAGTTTCTAATCATGGAAAATGACTGGGCTACCCAGCTCAAGGAGTTTGCCTTTTCTTTACAACTGATCTGAGTCAAAAAAATATTCTGACACGCCAATAAAGTGCTGTCACAGTGCCTGTCAGAGGGACAAGGGAAAGCAAATTGCTGAATCCATCTTTATGGTCCACAATACAAAAGAAATGCAGGTACAGCCCCACAAATTCCAGGTGGTACATGCAGTGCCCAGATATTTGTGTGCAGTCTGTTGCACCAATGAATTAGGCCTTCTGTAGAGTGTAATAGTTCATATACATGTTATACTCGTGCATCTAATATATACATAATAGGGAAATGCTCTTGAGCTTCTCTCAATTTTAAATTTCACATATGCTTCATGTTCAAGAAATGTAGGGAGGATGAGATGCTACCAAATGTGAGAACAGCTCAATCACTACAGTATTCACTGATGTTTCTACTCCAAAAAGAACAAACAGATGCTTCATTTCTTACCCCTAACCTCAATACAAATAAATAACACAACATACAGTTTGAAACATATTTTCAAGATGTATTTGGAGACACAGAAATGCCCCATCTATTTATAATACAGATTCAATCCACCTCATGATATAACCCATTTAATCTGGCGAACCAGAAAAACTCTCACATTTTGATTTGCTAACATGTATGGATTTTCACTATCAAGATTGCTCTTAGTCAACAAAGAAGTAATTACTTGAATGATTATTCAACTAATTGCTCAGCTACTCAATAGAAAGGGAAGTGATTACTGAAATAATTCAACCACCACTAAAGGAATGATGGACATACATAGATTGGAAACACAAAATATAATTTGTCAAAAATGATATGCTTAATTAAAGAATGAATATTTAAGAGGTGCTTCAAATTCCATGCTATTTAGTTCCATCTAGAACAACTGCTCTCAAAAAGGCAATGCCAACTTCAGCAGAAGGGACACTGCAATAGGCACAACTTAGCAGTGGGCATTGATACTTAGTGTAGAAAGTACTAACAACTGCAAGCCAAAATGAATTTTATTGATGGAAATTCAGACAGATACAGCACACTACTGAGGCACACTGCAGATCAGTCTGTAACGCTCATTCTAGAAAGATACAAGCAGTCAAGAAAAAAAAAATGTTTCCAAGGTCATAAAAGAAACAAACAAACAAAACCCCACACAAATAAAAAAACCCCTACCTTTTTCCTGGGTGTGTTCAGCTGAATTTCTTTTTTCTCACTGAATACAAAGGAGCCTGAAAGAAAGAATGAAAAACAGAATTCACAATAATGTTCCATGGGGAACTATTCTAACAACTGATTTTGAGTGGTTCAAGGGCTGGTTTTGTTTGGTTTTCTGGTCAAGTTGCCTTATTAGTACTTTTTCAGCGTTGCAGTTTTGGATTTTAGGTGAAGTAGATGAACTTTAAGACACCATATGAAATATGAAAAGAACGTGCTATGCTTATAAAGACAATACAGTATAAAATATTAGCAAACCAGACCATCAGTTGCAGAGCTGCCAAGCTATTTTATTCGCTGCAGGGGAGCAGATAACAGTGTCAGTAAAACCTTGGTAGAAGTCTCCTGCAGAGTTGTGTGGCCTTCTCTTTTAATGCATTACATTGACTACCAAATTTCCAGAGGCCAGGATTGTTACAGCCTGGCCATCACAACCAAAGCTCACTAAACTGGAGTTCTATTACACTGAAAAGGCAGGTCCTTGCCCTGCAGACTCTCCAGAGGTCTCACACTCTGAGACACTTGAACCTGCTTGTGCCATATGTAGAACAGATAAGAACAATCAAATAATAGTTACAGTTTTGGTAAGCTGTAAAAGTCAACAAACTAAACTTCTCTGTTCTTCATCAAGTCAAGCCGTCAGCAGATAAAAGCACAGGCTAAGGAGGCATGAAAACACTCCCTAAGTTCTTCCTGGACCAAGGATGATCCTCTTTATTCTAAGTTTCCCCTATACCCATTTAATATAATTGAAATGGGGAATCTTTCCATTTTACACCTTATTTGGTGGGGGTTTTTGTCACTTGCTATGTGCTAAGTTTCAGCTTGAGCGCAAAGGCTTTTCAGAGCAATTTTGGACTCTTATTCTAGGACTTCTCCGCATGTATTAAAAAAATTAAAGAAAAAGATGAGCAACTTTGCCCAAGCTTCCCCTCCTTTACTTCAGCACTAAGCTGACCAAAAAAAAAAACTTCCAGGAAGGTAGAGAAAGGCTATCTGGAAGTTGCTCTGGGACAATTATTTTCAAGAGCTCCCTTCCTCCTCTTGACTTTTCTTCTCTCCTTTTAAAATGTTGGGTCAGATGCAGAGTCCTCAGCCGAGCACTGGTGCAGCTGCCCCTCACTGCTGGGCCTTTCATGGGCTGCTCTGCTGTGGAGATGCCAGCTTTTGAAGGGGCAACCTGGTCATCAAGGGTAAGATTTCCATCTAAGAGCTCCTCCAAACTCAAAGCCTGATTGATTTCCTCCTCTGTGAGGTACTTAAGAGCATCAGCATAGAAGTCTGAAACCTGTTCAAGGCGTTAGTATCTGAAGAAAGCCAGCTGACTAAAGGCTAGTTCTGCTTTGTTATCAGCTGCAAATACTTGTCCTCTCCCTCCCATTTTCCCGAAAAAAGGAAATGCCACTAAATCCAGAGTTCCATCTAACTTTGAGTGGATGAGACAAATCTTTGCTCGCATGTGCAACTCAAGAAATCAAACTGGACCACATAAAATGAGTAATTAGAATCAGTTCTTCATCAATGATTATTTTTGGCAAGTTCTGACATCACAGAAGAAGTAAGAGCACTTCTGTACATCTGACAGAGGCAGTTGTACAACTATTAGGCAGGAGATTTTAATTTTCTGGTCTGCACATTGTAAATAGAGATTTAAAACAAGATCTGAAAGTTAGACAGGATTCTCCCAATTTCCCATATTTGGGAATAGGATATTATAAAAACTGGGACACTCTGAAGCTTTCAAAATTTCACCTCTTTAAATTTTTCTTTGAAAATCATTTCTCATTCCACTTCCAGACAAGTGCAAACCCTGTGCTGCAGTAATTACCTCACATGCAAACATAATAGTAGAGAAGTGGCATTGGCAGCCTCCAACAAATAAAGGTTTTCAACACAAACAAGAAGGCTCTTGATTCATATACAGAATGACTATTCTGAAAACAATAAACTCCATCTTATGTTTTCTAAGATTGCAAATTTGGACTACGTGGCATTTCAGCAATCCTATCAGTTCACAGTGATGCATGATTGATTAATGGGTTCGTCTCCATCTATAAAATTCTAAGGCAATTAAATAGGAATTGGTGTTTCTCTAGAGAGGCTTCTCCAGCTAAAAATAAAATAGAAGGTAGACAGTGACTGGCATTATTTATATCAACAATTCTACTAGAATGATAATGCAGCAGCTTTCACATGCAAATATACACACGTTTAAATGATTTAGGATGGATTAAAATAAGGAGCTTAATACATTTCTTTGCTTGTGCTCAATCTTTTCATTTGCTTAAGAATCTTATGAAAGCTGCCTCTAAAAGCAATTCTTCTGGACTGTGAAGAAATGTCATTACACTACACTGAAAATATTCTTACAACATATGAAAGAAACAGCAAGTGGTTACAAAGATACATAAATAGCTTGTTACAAAAAAATTTAGTCAAATCAGCACTCAACACCCATTAAATCTAAGGGAATAATGAATATGTTTGTTTAAACGTGCAAATGTCACAAAGATACTCAAACTTGCAACAGAGGATAGGATCACTTCCACGAGATCTATTATCAAAGATTGACCTCATGAATAAATTGGAATCTACAGTAATTATGCCTCTTAGCATGATTAAAATAAAGCACCAGCATAATGTGCTGGGTCCCACTGCTGGTGTCTCAGCAGATGCAGTAGTGGTTCCTGTCCAGGGTTACACAAACAAAAATAAGGTCATATGTGGGAACATTCCGTGCAGTATTCATACACTGGAGGAATACTGCAAAAAATAATTTACACTGGATTTTCACAAGCATATTTTCTCACTATGCCAAGTTTAGCAGCCTTCAGTAACTGCAGCACAAAGCTACATAGGAACAACCAGTAAACCCGAGTTTAGGTGCCAATATTGCACTGCATGAAGAACAATACCTTGTTTGCAAGGTGTTACAATAGTTTTGTGTATCATGATGTGTAACTCCAGAAACAGCACATATTTCTTTGAAGAGCAATACCCACATTTGAGGTTTTCTCTCCTTTCTTGTTTATGGTAAATTCTTTACCTTCAGTTACCTCAGCATTACCAACAACCAGGCAATTGCACTTATCTCAAATTTCTCTTATAAAATTTCTGATCCTCATATTCCTGTGATTGATACTGAATTAGCTTAGACAGTAAAGCGAAATTTCCATTCCAAAAGGCTAGAAAGGAAAACTGGAGTGAACTCTAATATGCCTACATAGACATGGCAAACAAACAGATTTTAGTTTAAAAAAAGAAAACCCTCATGCTTCCAGCCAGTAATAATTTTTAACACTTCAAACTGGCAACAGTGTGATCCAAAGTGTGATTTTTAGTTGTATCTGTAAAGTTAACACATTATTAATTAGCATTTTTTGAGGTCAAAATTTTGCCTGTTGATACACTAGTGTCCATATGTTTGGGTGGGCTGAGAGGGTGACAGCATTTGTGTAATCAAATACAGAAACATTTTTTCTTCATGTTTAATGACTTGCATTTGTAAATTTATAGAAGAAAAATTATACCAAACAATTATCCAACTAAATAGAATTTAAATGTCCTGTGAGGTTTCTTTATTCTATTTTAAAAGGCTTACATGGAAACAGGCTTCTCTTCTGGACAGCAAAAATATAAATCTTCAAAATCATGACTTCTTCCTGACCTGTTTCTCAGATTCTCTTTATGTTCCCATGAACTATGTCTCTCTCTCTCTATTTAACCTCTAACTAACGCTGTAAAAACACTGTTATAAACTCATTTGTGATGTTTCTTGGGCTTCCTTAGGAAGCAGGTCAGTAGTTCCAAGACTGACCCTGCTGTTAAAGCCCAGCTGGCCCCAAAGCTTTAATCTGCTGGAGCACAGAAGGGCTGAGCTCTGCAGCAGAGCCAACAAGGCAGGGAAGGCCGAGTGGCTCTGCAGGGAATTCCATCAGCCCAGGAGTGGTTTCTCCAAACCTCCCTCCGCTGCTGGGTTAGGGCTCTTGCCGGCTGCTGCTGCTGCACACTTCGCTCAGGACCGTGAGGTTACGCGTTTGCGCCAGCAATAAAAACAGACAATTTTCAGAATAGCAACAAAAAGAGGTTCTTTTGTTCCCTGCAAAAGCTATGGAAGAGACAAAGAACAAGGGCCGGAGTAGCCACCTCGTCAGCAAAGATATTCTGCTGGTAACTCTGATATATTGTGGTACAAGAATCAGCAAATACTGCCAAGCTAGCCACTTTGGAATTTTTGGAGACCTCTTGTCCTTCACAGATGAGGAATGATAAAATCTGGGGGGCAAGAGTCAGAATCCACATCTGTTCTTTGGAAGGAAATGCAAATAGAAATGGAATTTGATTTGCATGTTATCTCATTATATCAAACACCTTAGCATTATGTATGAAATACATTAACCTGACTCCTTTCCTATTTTCTTTCTCAGCTTGTTCCCACACACTCTGTATATAGATTGAATTCCCTTTTTGTGTCCAAAGGCACCTGATGCTCCCAAACCTAGAAAAAAGTGCTGAATCACGTATCAACACAAAAAAGAGGTAAATAAACTGTAAATAGAGTTTTCTGAAAGAAAATCTACTGATAGTCCACGGCATTATCCATAAGTTACAGACATTTTGCAAAGGGCTGCAAAATTTTTTTTGCTGTTTTACAAGTGATGAAGAAATGAGACCTGGGTTGGTTCTTTAGTGTTTATTAACACTGATGACTGCAGTCCACCAGACCGGGATATTAATGTGCCTCTTAACTCAAAGTCATAGCCAACAGTTTGCCCTGATTATTCAAGGTGTTTCACTTGAGATCTTTATTAAAAACCTGCAGAGTCCAATCAGATCTGGTTTACTATCATGCAAAAATATATACCATGTTATGCATATCAAATATTTAAAAAATGATGAGATTTTATAAATCACTGTCTAAATGGAGATGCACTTTAACTAATTGATTTCATTTACTTCAAGAGCACCTTATTATATGTTTGTTTTACTTTAGGTAATAAAGACAATAATCTCA